GTGAGTAATCACGCGGGAAATGGTATTTTTCTTTTCTCGCGAACGGATATTCGAATAATCGTTCGAGATAAATCTGAAAGGGTAAATAATCGTTTCTTATAAATTGGGCTATTTTCGATCGGGTCCCGGCCCTGTCTATTTTCAATTATACATTGAGAAAGACGGCGATGAAATTAATTTCGCGTAGAAACAAAATTATAGGTAATTTACAACAATTTGTATGAATTACGCAACTTATAATTGTGATTTTATTAATTGCCTTCCCCCGGCCACCGACACGTATACACTCATTAGTCTTATTGTTTTAGATCCAGTTTGGCATGTAAACGGAAGTTAGCGAAACACAAATAATATCATAGTAAAACTAAATCTGAGAACACGATAAAATAATACGTGTTTAATGGGCACCGTCCCGTGATCAAGCTTCGCCAAATTAGCGGGATTCTATGATTGCATCAAAATTATATTTTAAAAGTGTTTAATTTTGCTGAAAAGTAAAAACAAAATACGTATCGTTTATTTTTTTTAATCGGAAACTCAAATAGCAACTACGGCTGATTTATTTATGTCCCGAACTGCCCATATAAAAACAAATCGAGAACATCAATAATAAATTAACAATAGGTCGGCCGGTTTTAATTGTTGACATTATAGTAGACGTTTGTTTGTTTACGGCACACCGCCAATTAGAATAAAGCGTATTATTATGAAATTTAAAGTTCAAAATCAATACGATAGGTTAGGTAATATGATCCGGTATAAACACTATAGTTTTATCGAAAAAAAAAAAAAAAATGTGTTCCGTCAAGTATATACAGTGAAACTTCTTAATAATGGACGCTCTCGGTCGTTGAAACGTTTCATCGACGCGATAATATTTCAACGACTAGACGGATAATATAAGATATATATATGTATGGTATAACAATGTACATAACCATAGAGTAATACAAGATAACTTATAATTGCGTAGACCGTTATTTAAGTTTTCTACGATTATTCTTAATTTGCGATAAAAATGATTAATATCAATGTTTTAAAAGCGTTCGGTGTTTAGAGTGTCCTGTATTTAATGGTTTTCCAATACACAAATAGTGAAACTGTCCCTGTACCCGAAAGAACGTCCGCTATTTGGAGGTGTCCGTTAAGGGGTTGTAGTTGTACTTGTATGACGCATAATATTATTAAAAAAAAATATATATATTGTTTGTTTTAACGAATGATCGCATTTACGTATTTAAACATCACATTGTATACGGGGTTGATTTACCCGCCTACTCTTACCTCCTCACCCCGTCACGTAAAACCGCCATTTTTATAATAATGTTTTTTTCTGTTATTTTTCTGTCATTGTAATATTGAATTTACAATAATGTTAATCGCGTTCACCTCGCGCGTCAATATCGTGGTGACGGTCGTTCAAACAACGCTAATAATAATTGTACGTATTGCAGACACGCATGAAACGCTGTTTAGTTAACCTTTACGGAAATCGTGCGTTCGGTAATTATTATTGCCATAATGTCGCGGTAATAATTTTGACATCGACACGTTTGGGTACTTACTACGTCAAAGTCTATAACACTTAAATATCGTGAACCGTCATTTATAAAACTTAATTGAAAACGTATCATAATATTGTCAAAATCACGGACCATTAATAATTCTATAAATGAATGAACTGATTGTAGTATACGAGTTCCAACACTATTGAAAAGAATGATTACAGGTGAACGCTGAGGTATCATAGAAGAAAAATTCTGTCTTAGGATAATGGGGACAGGTGCAGCCACTGCTGTAGGTGATAAATTTTGAAGGTAGTATATGGGAAATTTAATGCATATCTGTACGAAATGATTAAACATTGCTAACGAAAAAACGATTTTGAGCGGAGTTCGGTTAATAGTGTTGCTTTGTCAACAATGTATATGTCATATTAAGTTTTGAAGTACAATAATTATATATATATATTATATATTTTCTTTAATAATATTTGTTTAACAGTGTATCTTTTTTCCCAATTTTTCTAAGTTTTTTCGATTTTAATTTATTTCCCCCCGGTTTTTCCATTTATTTGGAAAAAATAAAAAAAAAAATAACTTCCTTAAAATACCTTCTCAATCCGATTTCCTTTCAGAAAAAGAGCTATCATTGTAAATCGGAGCAAAACTGCTTGTAGAAAAGTCGTTCACAAGAACGACGAAGGAACGAAATAAGTTGTTCTCTCACTCTCCTGTCGTATCTATAATTTTGTTAAACATTCCCAATCTTTCTTTCTATAAGAAGGCATGGGATCAAAAAGTCAACATCTACCGTAAGTCGAGACACGCCAACCTTCAAACCTCTAAACCCGTCACCGGGTTTAATGCTACCTTCTGCTCATAATATTTGAGTAAGCTAAGCAACACCGGACAGCGAATTTATCATATTTACTATTTTCTGCGGGCGTAACATTATTTATTTCGCGGTTTTTCGATCGTTTTTGACAAGTCGATTGATCATAGGCAATATTTGGTTTATTCGAAGAGTTTCGAGTGACGTAGTAATCGAGTAATCGATGACGTAACTTGTGCAAATCGATAATATTCAGGCCATGCCCGACACACCGACGCTCAATAATTATAATAATAGGTACGTTTTAAATGGAAGAAACTGTCGTAAATATTTTAATCGAACGACAATGTCATTGGAAAATACTAATGCTACCGTATCGATGACGACGACGACCGACGTCGAATTTGATATATTACCGAGATTCTCTTCGAGAAATGTATTTATATTGAGACTGATGACTCCGAACGTCTTTCTGGTTATAAAATATTATAATATTATATATTGGATCGAAAAAAAAAAATCATGAGTAGCAAATATCCGTTGCTAGAGTTGAATTTTCCCCCAGCTGAATATTGCTGAAGTTAAAATATTTCAAAATAAAATATGTTTTTTTTTTTTTTTTTTTAAATGATTAGAAATTGAACAAAAAAAGTTTTATCAAAATATATAAAGTAGTTCTCGAAATGATTGGGAACATACAGTCGGTGTGGTCGGTGGTCGGAAGCTCAGACTTTCTTAAGTCTAAATTATTATTATTTACATTTTAATTTACTTTTATGAGCCTAAGGGTATTTAAAACCCACAAAAACGTGAAAATGACCGTGGAGGGGTTTGAAAATTAAATTCAACCAAAAGCACATGTTTGCTGCTTACACAATGTATGTACAAAAATTCAGCTAGCTTCATTTGGAGGATTTATATTAGACAATTATACACATAAAGTTAAAAAAAAATACCCTCCTAACTAGAACACACGGTGAAATTCATGTTAAAATTTAATCAAAATTATGTTACTAAAATCCAAGAAAAAAATTTCAATTGCCGAATTTGAGCCGTTTTGGTCAAGATGAAAGTGTACAATTGTACTGGGAAAAATATCCAACAGACACAATACGAGTACGGTGCTACTACAGTCATTATTTTCGGGTAATACGAGTAGGTACCGAAAGAGCTGCAAATATTTCTCTGCGTGATAATATTTCTGCCGTAGTTGTTTTCTTCCGAAAATTAGATCCTCGTTTTCCTCCGCAACGAAAATAATAAACTGTCATATTCCTTTAATCGTTTTTGTAAACAGACGAACATAAATCATAAATGACATATTCCGATCAAGCATATTTGCCTAAACATATTTTTTGAAGCACAGAAGCATGGACATTTTAATCGGCTTATAAGTGAAAAAGCCGAAACGATTCAAACAAAATTACGTAACGTGTATACTGTATAATACAATCGTCAGTTAATTATTTGAATAACACAGTGATACAAGCGAAAAATGACGCCCGAATCGCGTAGAGCGGTTCAAATTGGTTCCGACGTATTATTTCGGAAGAGAATGTGAACAGCGGAGAAAAAGATAGGTGGTAAGTTATTTTTAACAACAGTATTATCCCGTCCGTTATTTTACGTACACTGTCATCACATCATTTATTTCAAACAAAATCGATACAGCTCGTTTTGTCGAAATAATTAAAAATAATGTCGTAAAACTTTATCCCCGAAACTCGCGTGGACATTATTTTTTATGAATAGACACTCCGGTATAATATTATCCCGATTAAATTAATAAACGGTACCGATGGGACCTCTGTTGCGGTTTCACAGTTATGCACTCGTCGCACATGGCGGTTGGGTACGAATTTTTATATTAATGAATAATAATATTACTGTCGGTCATAATGTTATAATAATATTGCATGGGAGCAAGGCGAACCTGACCGCCAAACGTTCCGCCGGAGTATCGCAATATCGTTCGGTTCGGACGGTCGTCAATAGATAGCGGCAAGAAAATAATGTACGCGCAATAGAAATCAAATAGAAATCCGCAAACGGATTTCGGTCGTTTGACTGTGTCGAGAAAATCGTATACGGAATGAATTGCATACTATCGATCTACCTCGTGAATGATTTGCCGTTCAATTGATAACGTATTGGGTTGATTTTGTATGGTATAAGTCAAATTTTGAAGACCGGTGAAAAATTGATATTGTTCACGGGCAGTGAACCATTGAGACGAAAATTTCTACTGGAATTACTAACAAAAAAAAAAAAGTATTTTGGAAATTTCAAAAAACGATACAAATAAAAAAAATATTAGCCCAAAAATCCGTATATTTTGAGATAAGTTATAAAAAAATTATTATAACAAAAAAAGACGTTGTCCGAGAAAAGAAACACATCTCTGTAAAACTAATAATATTTGTTTTCCTTATACCCAGGATCTAAACTAAAATAGATTATATTATATCGATATTAAAATAGACTACGACGAGTTTAAAATATATGATGACGTAGTTATTTTTTTTACGCGAATTCTAGTCGAGACGTCGTATTATTTCATTTTAACGCGTATTTGTGTGTGCATCTCGAATACATTTTCATTTAGTATGACGATATTGAAAATTTTTTAAAAAATATTACATTTTTACGAATATTATTGTTAACGAATGCCTGTAGACAAAAGTACGCGGGTAGTAGACGAGTTAATGGTGATGGGTGATCTAATGGTCTGCACACTGGGTTGCTTAGAGGCCGGGACTGAAAAAAAAAGGACTGACTTCATTCGCGATAAAGGCGAAGACGACGAGAATTTTAACGAACATCATCTGCCACGGAAACGAAACGTAATCGTTCGGTTTTCATTAACTCGTGAAATGCAAATGATAATGCAATCCGGAAATTTGAAAAATCGGCTTAGTGCTGAATTGGAATCTGACGGTCCGTAGGAAAATCACAACGCGACCGCAAAATAGGTATAATAATGCAGTTTAAAGAGCGCACCCGATCGAAAAATCTAACCAGTCGCGTGCTCAAGGGGCTATCTCACCCCTCCCCCCTTTCTCTATTGGCTTAAAAATATAACGACTATGGGCAATTTAATTTTTAAATGCACATTATGTAATCATATTATCATGTTAGATCAATAGTATAACATTGTCAAGTTACTAAAGATCAAGTTTGATTTATTGAATACAAATTGACTGATCAAACATTCAAATTCCTATAGTTTCTCGTTGACGGGTTCGGTATAGAGGGAGATTCTACGGTTTATTCATGATTATTAGTGTTTACAACAATAAAAAAAACACCGAAAATGTAAAAAAAGAAAAAACCATTTAATTTATATAAAAGAAAATAATTAAAAAATGAACTAAAAAATGTGATAGGTTAGGTATGTCAAATTGTATTAGTTTGTTTTATAAAAAAAATTAACTACCATATATTCACTTATATTTTCTTCTGGAAAACTGTCGGTGTGTACAAATTGCCATACCAAATATTCGGTAAAGTATTTAGCGAAATCGATAATAAAATCTATTAAACATAATTTTAAACATTATATCGACAAGAAGTCGTCTTCTCAATTGGGCCGAAAAGACATTTATGAGTAAAAAAAGAATATTCATCCAATATCTTGGATATCAAACGGAACGCATCTTTATGTGAAAACTATTCTTCTATCATTATTAAAAAAAATAAAAGCCTTTGCCTTCGAATCCTTACCCTAATGATTATTATTATTGCTATATACGCCCCCCCCCCCCCCGTCTGAAATTTCCGGACACGCCATTGAAGCAGACGGTAAAATCGATAGTTCCGTGTAATAAATTTGCTTATACTGTACTCATACAATATAATGGATCACGTAAACGCATTATCCCATATTTGACCGACGTACGAGGAGAATGTTAACTATTTTTTTTTTTTCCATATGGATTAAGAGTGTCGCAAGGCGAGCGGCCGGTTTAATATCGATGTGTTTTTTTTTTCGTCCCGGGCTAGCCGCGGTCGGCGCGGAAACGCTTTTTGCGGAATAATAAAAACCGCGCCGAAAATTGAACGTATCCGCGGCTCTACCGATCAGACATCGGATGTAGATTGATCTATTCGGCCCGGCGGCGGCGTTGCTCGACTCTAGAAAAACTTACGTATTTAAAGGGATTACCGGCCTCTCGACGCAATATTTATTTGCTGGAAATGCACGCGATTTTATTCTCAATAATAAAGCCCTTAATTTGATTTCTTCTTCCGTTTCCGCGCAGGTCTCTTTTTTTTTTTTTATTCTCCCGGTTGTTTCGTCCCCCTTTTTCACAATAAATACACATTCCCGACCCTACCCGGGCAAATTTATGACGTTGCAAAATTTTCGCATTTCCCGTTTCCCGTAGTTAAAAGTGTTTAAATCGTTAAAACGGTTCACGGAAGGTAATTTCCATCGAAATTTATCGTCTTACGTATTTTGACTATCGTAACGATTGATAACGTCATTTTCTCTTTTCAAATTTTTGTATTTTTTCGATAGCAGTACGAACATACCTTACATGATTTTCGTTTCGACTAAAAAAAAATGTTAAATATTTTACCATTTATTATCTATTGGTATTGAACAATGAGTTTGGCAATTCGTTTGATACGTTTCGTTGCCTTTTTACAGACTGCTAAGGCTTACTGTGTACACGAGAGAGCATACTAGATAAGTCGATTTAAGTAAATTCAACTCATGTATAACTTATAGTTTGATGAAGAAACGACTGATTTGTTTTGCAACAAAATCGTTAAAAATTACGATAAAAAATAATCGATAAAGGTACCTTATATTAAAAAGAAAAAATGCGATCATACATAATAATATAATAATGCGTATAAAAAACAATACGTTATAATACCTGGAAAAAAATATCGTATAATACGATATGCATCGTTACAAAAAATATCTGAGAACAATAATTGACAAGTTTTTATTATTTAGTTTTTTTTTAGATTCCGAATGTAGCGAAGAATGTATTGATTTTATAAACATGTTTTTTATACGGTGGACAAAAACTCTACCAGAAATCTAGCTCAGATATTTACGCACGGTATCATTTCTGAAAGAAAATATATTGTATAAATGGCATTTTTAGGATTACATTTTTTGATGTTCCGAGTGGTTTTCATAACATCTGGGAAAAACCAGAATAAAAAAGACGTCCTAGGATAATGGAGATGGGTGCAGCCACTGTTATAGGTAATTTAATGTATACCTGTAAGGAACAATAAACCATTGTTTACGAAAAAACGATTCTGAGCGGAATTCAGTTCATAGTGATGCTTTGTCAACAATATATGTATGCCATTTTATAGTAAAATAATTAAATAGGCTTTATATATTTTCTTTAATAATATTTGTTTAATGATGTACCGGCTTTCCCGTGTTTTATCCAGGTTTTTCACATTTGCTGGGAAAACTCTTGGAAAAATGACCTCTCCATAATACTTCACTAGTGAAATTTTCTTTTAGAAACTTTGCTATCATTCAAAGTTGGAACATAATTGCTGGTAGAAAATTTGTGCACAGCAAAATAGAAGCCCGTAATATATTTTAACTAATACCCACATTTCTTATAGTTTCCCATTTTTTTTTTCAGTTTTTCAAATTTGTTGAAAAAACTCTAGAGAAAATGGAAAAATCACTCCCTTAAAATACTTCCCTACACCGATTTCCTTTCAGAAAAAATGCTGCTACATGTTGAACAAGTCTTCTGGTAGAAAAGTTGCACACAGATAAAAAAAAAATAAACAATTTTGCAAAACTATAAGCTTCTTCGATCCACTCAGAATTTAAATGTGAGAAAACGGGAAATTTACGAAAATAATGTTTTTTTAATTTTTCAATTTCGTTTTTTGTTGTGATTCAGTAAAAATATTTTTGTAGAGACTTGGAATTCTGACAGGCAACTTATATTTACCTTTTCTACACATGGTTAAATTTTCAACAAATTTAAGCCATTTTTGAGATATTTATAGACATTTTTGTTTTAGCAATGCAGTTTTCGTTCAATAATTTGACCACTTGACTACAGCGCTGTAACACCGAATCTCATTTTCGTTCATGTCTGGTTTTTTTGACACTTGACACTTGACATCATAATTCTATACTGCGAATATATTCAAAATATCATTAAACTAATTTTTTTTACACAAATATATAACACTATAGCTGTCTCGTATGACTTTTCCCGTGCACAGTGTGGAACGAAAAATTAAAAATAAAAGAAACGTGTTTAACTTTTTCCATTCTATTCCCATCTTTATCAAAGTTAACTGTTTTTAAGCCAGTCATTTTTTTTTTTATCGGTACTTCCTGCCTTTTGACAACCATATATATCACCTCTATATTGATAATTGTTTTTATCTGTGTCGCTAGGATGACCAACAAACACTTTCGTTCCAAGACAGTGTTCTACATCTGCACGATGTCATAAACCGTTGGAAAATGTATGGGTTCGTTGATATAGTTGTACTTATTTAAATTAGACAATTAGGCTTCTAAACTAAATCAATATACTAATATCACTTATAACCATTAAAAAAAAAAAAAAAAAAAAAAAAATGAATAAGTTATATTTATTGAACGTTCACTTTAATGGAAGCTACTAACATAATCATATGCTCAACAGCCAACATTCCAGTTTGATAAGTATAATATAATAGTCGAAATGTGAAATAATTGACGCCTATTAAAAAATTTAACAGTATAGAACGTGTATTAATTAGAATGAATTTTATAACAAACAAAAAAAAAAACAAAAAAAAAAAAACACTATTTGTGAAAGAAAACAATTAATTTTCGTAACTACAACGCGGTTTGCGGCGGTCGGTGCCCAAGGAACTGATCAATGATTTCGGCAAACTGGAGTCATTACTGTTGGCGTCTGCAATAAAAAATATTATCAAATGAGCATAATACATTGAAATAGAATATTATAAGTTATGCGCTACCCGCTGCCCGTATATTACGGGTGGCAAGCCGACAAAATGTTAATGTACATTAATGTAAAACACAATATTTATTGAATAACTAACCGAGAAATAATACAGTGTTGTGATAGCATCAAAAATCGACCGTAATCCAAAGCAAAACCGAATAAATACAAAAATTAGTCAAAATAATAAAAAATGATTAGTTATTAATTATTAAGTGGATTTCGCCCTATGAGTTAATTCACAACGACGTCGATTAACCGTGGTCGTAACTGTCTGCGTCTGCAATATAAAATATTATTGAATGTGCCGTTTTGTTCTATACAATTTAAAATAGTAACGCATAGGTATTTACGCGCGATAATGATTTATACAAAACTCGGTACGTTATTATTAATGGCAATTGTGAATTGTATTATTTTTACGAACACTTAAGGTTTTTCAACATTCGATTAATGTTCTGCCGGACATTAGTACCGATTCGTTAAACATCTTGCGCTATAATTACAGCAATCCGCAATAGAAAACATTATCGTTCAAATTGTATAGGTAGGCATATTAATATTATCAATGACCTATGGTAACTACGGAGATTTGTCTATTATTCATGAGTGTATACATAAGTAAATTAATAGTTTATCGAATTCGTTTATTTGGTACAATTACACGTTAAACTATATGTTAATAACATAATTTGCGTGTTTCATAGCTCCTTTTCTCAGCCAAAATCCTACATAAGCCACTGAATGTTCTGCAATTCATAAAAGAATGTATTCTGTTCGTTGCCCGTATATTAAAATAATAATAATAATAATAATAATGTACCCATATGAATAGGTAATATTGACGTACTTTTCCGTGTCTTAAAGCCATTGGAACGGTCCTCATCAGGAAGTCAGTTGTCACAAACTCTACACAGAAACTTGACAGGTTCACGAATTTTGTCTTTGTGTAGCTCTTCATTACGTCTTTTTGGTATACA